ATGGACCACTGGAACCAATATCTGAGATGAAGAAGAAGGGTAGGATTTGGCCTCAGTTTGGATTGAGGTTTGCGGACAGTTTAGACTGCAGCTAAAACGATTCCTCAAAGAGACGTGCATCAACAGGAGTTGTCTCCTTTCTTATCAGCATGGTTGGTTACCAGTAGCAGCATTCCCAGATTCATAGGGAATACCTACACCATGGAAAGACCATGTGAGGGAGAGCCCCATGCCAGCTTTGTGCGGGCTGCCTGCCTACGCTCATGCCAGTTTATTGGCACACACCCAGTGCCACACTGAGGCAGTTGCATTACCTCCATTTTAGGACAGGTAATTAGCCATGTTAGGCAGAAGGCAGGGCATTTTGAGAGGGAGCATAGGCAAGACAGGCTTGGTGGCCTTTACTGAGGCACTCCCCAGGAGGATCCTGTCACAGTGTAGACCAGGGGTGACCAGCCTACAGCTCTGGAGCCACATGCAGCTCTTCAGAAGTTAATATGCATCTCCTTGAAACTTTGCACAAGCACACGGTGACCAGCTTCCAAATGGTCACCATATGCTTGTGCAAAGACTCAAGGAGACTTCTGAATAGCTGCATGAGTCTCTGGAGCTGTAGGTTGGCCACCCCTAGTGTAGACCTTTAGCTTGCAGGCCATATGTGGCCTGTGAAGCCATGGCATCTGACTGCGGGGCTCCCCATAGGTCAGAAAATATTGCAGCAGGGGAGCCTTGGCCATTAATACTTCCACCCTCCCCCACTGCCAAATTCCCAAGCCCTGCACAGTGGGTTGAAGCTAGGTCATGTCCCCTCTCATCCCCCCAGGCTCCCTTCCCCCCAAGTCACTGAACCGGGGCTGGGGCATGTCCCCTCCCTGTTGCATGACTGAATCAGTGTTGGGCCATTCCCCCTTCCCGCGTGGCCATGTTGGGACTGGGCCACACCCTCTTCTCCCTGTATGGCTGAATCAGGACCAGACCACCCCCCTTCTCCCCACTCAGCCATGTTGGGGCTGGGCCATGTCCCCTTCTTCCCATGCAGCTACATCAGACCCACTCCCTCTGGGCAGCTGGATGGGGCCACACCGCATCTGCCCCAGGAGCCAGATCAGGGCTACCAGTTGGATCTAACCTGCAGATGGACCGGGCATTGCCCATCCGGTCTGGGGAAAAACGTTGAGTGCCACTGATGTAGACACAGCCATAGGGCCAGAAGGAACCATAAAATCCCTTTGTGTGGCTTCCTGAATGCATAGCATGTCAGCCAGTTAACTCTGAACTGAAACCAGGGATGGGCTAAATGAATCCAGCAGTAAGAGGCACGCGCCCATTTTCACTGGGATGTTGGAAGATAAAAATCTGGCAAATTTCCAGCAATGACAAGATTTTGTTTTCCTCTTTTCTTAAGGAACATGAAGACAGTGAATCAGCCTTACATGGTTGTTTTTTTATCGGTTTGTCACAACTTTGACGTTTTAATTTTGTCGCCTCCCTTAAAATTGGCTGTTTGATTCATTGCTGGATTTGAACGAGGCACAATTTTTTTTTTTAGCTTTCAACATTGCCATCCTAAACTTGATATTAATGAGGACTGTGTTCTGCACGTGATGGTGGAGGTATGCAGAGGCAACTACTTGAGAGTACTGCTCCCGAATAATTCCATGCACAGATGAGCCCTAAGGAAAAGTGTGTGCCGTTGACATCCATAGTACTGCTGATGGGCATAGGGGTCAGAGCTAGTAGATCAGAATGCAGAATCATCTCTCCTCCTCTTCACATTTGTAATGTGCCCCTCACTCCAGCCGTCACACTCAAGAATCAATTGACACAATATTGCAGGCTTTTAGGACCACTAAAATTGAGCCAATTGCGTCATGTTTTTGGAAGGGCCTTTGCATTTGTACACTCAACACTGTGAGTCTAACGGTTTGTCAGGACAAATTTAGGCATTTGAGTGCTCAGGCGTCAAGAGAGTGTAGTAGGCAACTGTCAGTCTTCTAGATCATGGTGTATGTGTAAGAGGTCTAGTCACGTGTCTGATGAATCCACTTGTACAGATACCTAAGACCATCACATCAAGACCTTTGACACATGCCTAAGCAAGAGTATGGAGGAGCGGAGGCTGCCCAAAGCCTACCATCCCCTCTTTAGACCACTGAGACAGAATCCAAAGGCCAGTCCGAGTCCAGATGCTCAGTGCCTCGATGGTTGTAGCTTCTGCCAGAAAGCAACAGATAAGAACTGCTGCTGACTGCCTAATGCTTCAGCAAGGGTCCATTTCTGTCCCTTAGCCTTTCTCCAATCAAGGAGTACCCACAAGGCAGTGGGGGCAAGTTTTTGGGGGCATCCTATGCTCACCTTACTCTGGAGATTGCAACATTGTGGTATTTTATAGGAGCTACCCCGCCACAAGTAGCCCCACCACATTGCCACCAGGTTGTTTATGTTCATACCCCAAATGAACTCAGTAGAGTATATTGCCTAAATATATGATCCCATATATTCGATTTGTTTCAGAGGTATCTATGATTTTAATCCTATTTTATTTTCAATAAAAAAACACACGGCTGCTGAAATTCTCCTTTGCCATTGTATCAATGGTTTTCAATTCAGCGATAAAAAGTTTGATCTCCGGACATTCTAGTTCATGCTTTATGCAGCTTTCGATGCTACATGAAATCTCACAAGATCTTCCAGGCAGAAAAGTCATAAACAGATTCAGAATAAATTTGCAATCAGGTAAACAGTCGAAAGCACCAGAATTTGACAAAAAGTCACGCAAAGTTGAAACCCTACAGAAATTGACTCTGAAATCATGCTCTGACCATTCCACATCCATCTCGGTATCAACGGTGTTGGTGTGCCAACTGCAGATAATTTGACGCTGTGCTAGAGAGAGTCAGATTATTTTTGATCCTTGTTTCTCACTCTCCAGATTGGAGTCTATATCTGGGAGTTACTCCCACACCTCAGCTACAGCGTCTACATGGGACTGTGTTACTTATTAAAAAGGAAAGCTCTCCCTGCAGTTCCCCTGATGTAAAAGCTATTTCTTATCTCCAAAGCACCCAAGCATACTGAAATACACTTTGCAATGGAGTTTAACATCACCATTGGTGCATGTGGTGCCAGCTAACAATCCTTGAAGCTATATAGCTCTCCCTAATGCGCAGAAGAGATACAGAATAAGGAGTAGGTGTGCAGGTTTCTGTGTTTTTAACCGTGTTTTAAACGTGCTAGTCCTGAGCATCAGTCAGGTTTTTAGTGTAGCAAGGAGTGCATAACCAGTCATAGCAAGCATACGCAATAGAAGTAGTAATAACATGTTAAAGGAATATTTTCAGTTGAGCCTTGAAGAAAATAATATCATTTACTAATGTGTTTAGCGGACAAATTGGAATCATGCACAAATGCTCAAATCCTAGATTAGGACTCTGGCTGAAAAGTATCAGCAGGACTCAGGCGAGTTAGGAATCTATCTTGTTTTCAAAAGCAACACAGGCATTCAAGAGGCTAAGTCCTTTGGTTTTCAAAAAAGAGTTAGGCTTTCTTTTGAAAATAGGATTTAACTTCTTAAGTCATAGTGTGCCTTTGTAAATATTACTCAAGGAAAGAGGGACCAGTTAGACACGGACTGTTTATTTTAACAAGACCATAAACCTGGAATGTATCCTATATGGAAGAGGAGGATGTCTTTTCCCTTCTACTGACACATGCGTAATATTCACTGATGCTAGTGGGAGTTGTGAGTATAGGGGAAGAAAGTAGAACCTTATAAAACAGCAGTAGTTTTCCATTTGATTGGAAAGCAGCCATTGCCATCTACCAAATAAAGCAGCTATCAGGCATTTCAAGAGGACAGCAGGGGACAATGAGCACTCTAAGGAAATCTGAAAAGGGTTCCAAAAATTGGATGAAGTTGGAAAATAGTGGGGAAAAGCCACAAAAAAAAATCAATGAATACCATTAGACCTTGTGGTAGTTCTGTCTGGAGCATAGCCCAAATCTTAGCACTTGGAAAGATCAAATGTTACCAGCCTTTATGAAGAGTTAAAGGGTATTGAATAAAATCAACAAGTTGTTGCTACACAATCTACACATTCTGGGAGCAGAGCCAATATGAGCAGCAAGTGGTAAATCAAAAATAATGCCAAGTAATCTGCTAGAAGAAAATGGGATTCATGTGAGAAGAGGTTCTGCTCAGTTACGATCTGGACAGAACAGCACAGCCTGACTGACATAAGTGCTCAAGTTGCTTGCACACAAAAAAGGCAGTAGAATACACCGGTGGCTAGTAAATGGGTGAGAAAGACAAGCTTGTTTTAACTGAGAAACATGAGATCTGGAGGTAGAGGCTGAAAAAGTTTGGTCCATTGATCTGCATTCTGCTACTGCTTTGCTGCATGGTAAACGTTGACTAAAATGTGTGATGTAGGCATTCATTATAAATGGCCCAATTTTCAAACGTGCTGAGAACCTGGTGTCTGTAGAAGTTTGTAAACCCCCAGCGCCAGTGGCGATAGTCAGACCACATATTTAGGCACATAAATAAATATTTATTACTTGAGGCATCTCAGTTCACAAAATTTGGCCATGTATCTGTACAATGGGAATAATAGTAACTACATAATGAAGAGGTGCATTGCAAGGAAAAAGTTTGTGCAGCATATTCCTTCAAACATGCATCCATCCTGTTGAGAATCTGTCTTTGACAGAGACAGTAGTCTAAAAGGTAGGGTATTCCCTTTTCTATCACAGACTTCTGGCAAGGTCTTTGCCAAATCATGTTAGCTTCTTCGTGCCTCAGTTTCTCATTTGTAAAATGGGACTATAATATTTGGGAGTGCTGATGCAATGAAAGATGGTGAGAAGCTTGGATTCTTCAGGAAGGATTTTCAGATCATGTCTTTGATTCTTTAAGTTAATATGGATTCATCTTTAGCAATTCTAATGATGTCCTGGGCCAAGGCAACTAACATACCTATTTTTACGTTTGTCCTCAGAGTACGCTCGATTTGAGGCAAAAATCCATGACCTGCGTGAGCAGATGATGAACCACAGCATGAGTTCTGGGTCCGGCTCCCTGAGAACTAATCAGAAGCGGTCACTCTATGTCAGGTAGGTTTGGAGTGATTTTCCTGGTCATATATATCAACAGTTTTTCTACCATGTTGTTTTGGGAACTGAGGAATTTAACTGAAAGGTGTTTCCTGAAGTGAGCTTTTATGCTTATAAGCATATAATGCAGTGGTTTCAGTATGAATTCTTGATCAATGCATGTTACTAATCCTGTTTTTGGAGAGCCTTAGACTTCCATGTTCAGAAAGAATTGTGGTGATTTTTCAAGATGAAAATATCTTGCCATTTGATAGTCCACCCAAAACTGAAAAAAGTAGGGCGAGCATTTCTATTGACTTAATATTGAATGTATATATTGTGATAGCACCTAAAGGTCACAATTAGGCTGAATCTCAGTGCTCTAATCACTGACCAAATTGTATTAGTGGCAGCTCCTGTCACGAAGAGCTTATAATCTAAATGGGAAAGATGAAGCGGGTGGATGAAGCAAACAAGCCAGTCAGTGTGGGCTAATGTCACATGGGGAAATGCAAAAAAATAAGATGCATGCAATTCTTAGCCAGGTAGTAATACTGATTATTGGTCTATTTTTGCCATGGTAGTTCTAGCTTGGTAGCCATTGTCAACCAAAGGATTGATTGACTTGGCACTTGACAACATTTTTGCTGTTAACTAGTTCCTATTGGCACTGAAAGGTATACTGCTCTGAGTGAATAATATATCGGATTCAGTGTCTGATATTTCAATAGCACCCTTGCTTTTTAGGCTTTTCATTTTTAATTTATTTCCTCGCGCTCATAAAGTTAAAAAAAAAATCTTGCCAATCATGAAATAGAGGGAAGTAATTTGTCAATCTCCAGGAAGTGATAATTATTCATGGGGGAGCTAATTCAGGTGATACCATTGCAGAGATCCAATTAAGGCTAAATCCTACATTTTGTCATTATGCCCTCAGCATGAGGGGAAATGGTATCAGAAAGAATTGAAGGAGGGAAAAAAACACTCAAAGGTAAGCGCCTGGTGGTCTCTTTCAAGCTTGGCACTGCTGCAGAGAGATCAAGTCCTGAATGGGGATAGGGGCTGATCGACTCTCTTATTCCCTAAAAGCTGCTCTGTCATTCCATAAATACTAGTCCAGCTGCCCTTGTGACTCCACTCTGTCCTCTTGGAGTACTTCAAAGTTGTCAGGTTTTTGTCCACAGTACAATCAAATAACTCTTTCACCCTTGCAGGTCTTGGCCTATAGCACTCTGCACATAAGCTATGATTCTCCAACAAGGTTTGGTACCTGCAGGGCTTCCCTTTGGGAGTCTGTGAGTACCATTACCAGATCAGTTACTTCTTAAACCAAAATGCTGTTTAATCTTTACTGTTAGAATACAGCAGAATATTGGAACATGGAAGTGACTTTAAAAAAATAAATAGGCAAATCTATCTTACCAAAAGGATTGGCCTCACTTTGGAAGCTTAGGAAATGCTTACTT